GGACATTATTTTATTATTCTTTTTTTCCCAGTTCGTTATGAACACATTTTCTCATGTACCTCTACTGTTTAGCTTGTTAAAGCCTTATTAAAGCCTTGTTAAAGCCTATTTGTTAGAGTTTCTGAGGTATTTTGACTTCTGCTCCCTGCTCTGGTAACAGCATGCAGAGTGAGCGCAGAGCAGAGGAGGGAGAAAAAGAAGAAGAAGCTGGGACCACGACTCTGCCTCTGGGTCTCACAGGGTCTCATATGGTTGTACAACGGAGCTTCTGCTATTATTAGCCATGCTAACGTAAACGCTGGCTTTGGAGGGCGGAGTTAATGTCAACAGATTTTTGGAGGGCGTTACCAACAGAGCTCATTAACATAAACAGCTCTTCTGAACGGAAGTCAGAGCAGGCAGAACTAGAAAATGGGAAATTTGATTATCTGAGAATTATTTTGTGCATTAAATTGAATGAACATGGTCTGGATAGCCCACAGACATACCATAAACATTTCTTGGACCCATAATTGGTCTCTTTTAAAATTTTAGCAATGATTTTGTTGATTTCAGTGTTTATACACTAATTTGCCACAGTTTTACAAATCTGAGATTTACCTACTGTTATTCAAATTTTGTTTTTAGCTAAGGGTTTACGAATTTTAGCTTTTAGCTACTATTTTCATAATTGTACAGTTTTACTAATTCTAGCTTTAATCAAAACAATGTTTTACTTCTTTCAACTTAGCTTCTGTTTTGTTATGTTTAGCTTTTAGTTACACTTTTTTGTTTTATATTTAAGCAGTGACTGTTGACTTTAGCTTTATATTTGAATGGTATTGATAATTTTCACACCACGGTATAACCTTTAGAAAATACCACAGTGTACAGCATTACTGSGGGTGTCCTGTGACATTTTGAGTAATTGATAATAAACAGAGAAACRGCTGCTTGTGAGCATTTATATGCGTTCAGCCAAAGGGAGTTGTGGGGAAATTTTATTTATTTATTTTTTTGTGGGCAAATTTAATTTATTTTAAATGAGCTGAGGTGGTCAGAACATGCATCAGTAACATTATGGGGTGTTTTCTGAAARAGCCTTGAATRTTTGTCCCAGTTTTCAAAGCAGCTTTGTCGAAATTTGGCACTTCACCTCCTGTGACTAATACCGTAATAATTTTTACATACCATCACCGAATTTTGATACCCTGGTTTGCTCCGTTTAGCTTAGGGCTGCGCGGTATATGTGGTAGATGGTAGAAACGGTATGAAGTTGACCTACGGTAGAAATTTATCCTCTACCGTCACATCGTCATTACGTCATCACACCTGTGTGAACAGGGCTGTGAGTGCAGAGACAACTGAGCAGGAGGAGTTCGAAATAAAACGAAGAAATTATAGCATTTTAAAACGCGTAAAGAGAATAAATCCTCAAAATTTCCCCCTCCCGCTGTAGAAAAGTTACTTCAGGATCATTTTCTTCCTCCCTTCCCTCCACGTCGTGCAGAGTGAAGCTTTAATAACAACAGTTTTTACACACCCAAGTTGTCGGAGAAAAAACTTGTTTTTTATGTATTGTTACCCACCGCAGAAATGATAAAAAGACGTGGACGTTTGTTCAGTCATAAATCCATCTTGCTAATGTAAAGTTGGCTTCTGCTCTGATGATGAAGATTGAGCGTGCAGCAGCTGATAAGTTCAGCAGGCAGAAACTCATTGTATGGCAAGCTGATATGAAAGCAAAAATGCTGGGTTTGATTAAGATTAGTTTTCTGCGTAAAAAAGCTCTAAAAATAACATTATCTTACTTTTTATGATAGTTTTCTACCGCGATATAAACCGTTACCGTGAAGGGATTCAATTTATACCGTGATATAAATATGAGGTCGTACCGCCCAGCCCTAGTTTAGCTGCTGTATTTCATATTTTAGTTTTTAGCTATAGTTTTGGTTTTTTGCTCATTTTAGCTTTTGGCTACTGTTCTGCTGGATTTAGCCTTTTAGCACCAGTTTTGCTGTTTTTTGTTCTGCCTGTTTTAAACTTTAAACAATCCAGTTTCACCTAATTTCCCTCTGGGATCAATAAAGTATTTTTGAATTAAATTAAGTGGTTACCTAATCCAGCAGAGTCATTCAGCGCTCAGCATTTAAACTGCCTTCCTCACGGAAAAAAAATTATTTTTTGCTTATATTTGTTTGTATGTGTTCACATGAGTGTGCCTTCTTCAGCATCTCCGGGGCCCCTCTGTGGATCCYAGAGGCCTCGGCCCTGAGCTCGAGTCACGCAGCAGGTGGTCAAATAAAMCCAGCAAGGGGCTTCGGTTAATCCTCTGTTACATCAATCCTTGAACCTGCCACAGAACCACGTGAAGTCATTAGTTTTATATTATTTAAGAATTATTTATTGACTTTTATCCAACAAGTTTTTTTCCCAGGTCCAACATGTTGGAAGGAAGAGAGCTCTGAGCTTTTGAGCTTCATAAACTAGAACAAATATTGAAAATATTCGGGTTCACTAAATCTGTAATTCAACCTGCTTCAGGGGTTTAATTACTTCAATTACTGCAGCTAAGATTTCATCTGTCAGCGGTGGCGCTCTGACGCAGAAAAAGTGCTGCTCTGATTACCGCTGAGCTCACCTTCAGGAGGGATGGATGTTAACACAAACATGCACTCAGAGTGTTCATTCAAGTTCATGTGTGGCATGAGGTCCATTATTTACTGAACTTAAGATTTATTACCCATTTTGAGACAAACTATTTCCATTTAAAGTCTGAGCTTTAGTTTGTGTTCATTTGTCTGTCAGCAAAATGTTTTGATACATCTGGATGATTTTAATGAAACTATGAAAGTAATCATTAGATGTATCTACAACTGATTGACTTTTGGAATCCAATTCAAGATGTCTGCCTCAACAAATTGACTTAAACAAACAAAAACATGGCTGTAGCTCAGATAATCTTAGAAATAAGCTAAAATTCGGTGTGGTAGTAGCTGAGAGACGTCTTCATCACATAATGTAACCTCAAACAAATCATGTGAGGTCTTTGTTTGGAAATTTGGCTTGTAAGGAGACGGACAATAATAAATAATAGGTTTTATTGCCTTTGGTAAAATAAATTTCATTGTATCCAACTTTCATGGTTTTTTACCATCTTTTATAAATAGACAGACATTAAAAAAAGTCAGAGGAGGAAGTAAATCCATGTCAGGCTGAATGGTGTGTTTGTGTTGGGTCGGCTCAAACACATGAAGCAGGGCGGCATGTTGAATACAGACGTGGTTACGTATTAAACCACACACGTGTTATTTAGACTCAGTCCTCGTATGAAAGTCGTTTTCATGTAAATAAAACAACAGATGTCTCAGTTCTCTGATTCACTATCAAAGCGTCGTCTCATTTGCTCCGAATATTGCCGAGCAAACTAGAAAATCTGTGTCTCCGTCATAAATATTGAAAACGAGATGAGTCACAGATCATAGCAGCAGTCGGGTAAATTGTCTCGGAGGGTGGGCTGAAAGCCGGGGAGCGAGCTCCTGCTGGGAGTCGATCCCCAGGWAGTTAGAAAGTACCTGCTAATCAAACGGCTTAAACGCCTCGATGCAGTCATGTGGAATTAACTGTGGATCCTCATAAGCCTTACGCCGATGAAATCCATAGCTCTGTGAATATGTTGTGAAAGAATATCTGGCTTAATTATCTGTTTTCTTTTCTTCTTTTTTTTTAATCTACACAGCTGTCCCCTTCCCCCTCAGTCACCGGCTGACAGCTAAAGAGGTGTTTGACGTCGATGGGAAGCCCAAAGTGGATGTGCTGAAAGCTCACCTAACCAAGGAGGGCCGTGTGGAGGAGTCGGTGGCCCTCAGGCTCATAGGAGAGGGAGCTGCCATCCTGCGTTCAGAGAAGAACCTGCTGGACATCGAGGCCCCTGTGACAGGTCAGAAACCCAAAACTCCCAAATGGTGACATGAATCATAAATCCTTTTAGACATCAATTGGACGTCTAATCTTGTTTTGTTTTGTTTTTTCTCCACGTTTTTCAAATGGACTAATCTAACAAAGAACTTTATGACAATCAGACTTTAAAACTGCTGAGAGTTGCTTTGTTTCGGCGAGCTAATCTAAAAGGCTAATAAATCTGCCTCCACTCCCTCCTGAGGGTCATCATGGTTTTCTTTAGCCTAGTCCACATGTGACCGAAACATCTCGTGTACCAGACCCTCCGGTATGTAGGGAATGAAGAGTGATTAGCATGTACATTTTCTCAATTCAGACTGATTAGTGTGGTGTTCCAAGATTAAAAAAATGGGGCGAGTTACTTTGTTTCTGCAAGAACTTGCACACAAATGAATGTTTCATCCCTCCCTGCTGAGGGTCATTAGGGTTTTTGTTTATCTGATCCATTTGAGATGTTTTGAGCTAGTCCCTGAACAGTAATAATATGACCAAAACAACTGTCATGTAGGCTGACAAAGACCTTAATGACCCTCAGGAGGGAGGGGAGGGTGATTCATTTGCATGTTAGTTCAACTCATGTAAACAGAGCAACAGTTACAAAGCCTGGACCTTCACACTTTTCAGTCTAAACTCAGAAAGCTAGGGATGTCCCGATACCAGTTATTCAAACTTAACTGTAACACATTTAATGGAGTATCGGTTCCAGGTATCGGGGCACTTATAAACAATGCTGGTATCTGTATTGGGACACCACTAGAGAAAGACCCTCAGATGGGAAGCAAAACATCTTAACTAAACCAAAAAAAATATTATTTTTTTAACTCTTCTGAATGATCTCTGTGATATTAACCAGAACTGAGCTGAAATGAGCAATTTGAGTTTCATTTCTAAAGCAAAACTTTAATGTTCCTGGCCTTTTTTTTATCTGGACATGAATAAACATTTGTGTAAATACTTAGTACTTGCAGCTTTTTGCCAGATGTCACATGGTCCAATTCCTTTATAAAGAAACACGAGAACACTAAAATCTGTCCTCCTATTTATTTCCAAATCTATTTTAGACTAGATGCAGTGCCGAGATCTTATCAACTCTTTGAATAGATCATGTTATCTCTTCAGTCATCACTCTTCTGCAAGCTTAGAATGGAAGTAAGCCACAAGTTTAAACCACTGCCTCAGTGTCACTGTATTTCCTTTTTGAAACTGATTGGTTCAGTTTTGAAAACAAATTTACTTTGTTTTGGTTTCAACTTCTGTCCAGAAGGCCTGTCGTCATTTTGGCATTTTCATTTAATGGGTGTTTACTTTTTTCAGTTTTGGCTTTTCAGTTTCATATTTCTATTTGATCAGATCTGGGCTCGGTTACACCGAAGCTGTTAATAGTAGAAGCACCAAAGGGTTATTTTTATCCCCTGAGCTTTTTCATCTCTCTGTGACTTCCTTACATCATACCCTTGGTGTCTCAGAGTTCATGTCAGTTTTTTCTTCTTCTAAGATTTAAACTTCTCTTTAGTTACTAGACATCTGTAATACAGATTAAAATAATTATGGTCATATTATTGTTACCTTCTGTTGGATCGCAGTGGTTCCCCAGATTTATCTGTGTTGTTTACAGTTGACGACCTTCTTTAAGCAGCCAGTAGCTGAAGTTCAGCTCGCTCTTTCACGCATGCCTCGTCATTGCTGGAGGTTTGTTGATGCGTATGCACACATCCACATTGTCGTCTTTCTCCCTGGTCAAGTGTGCCGTTCTTCCATTAGACTTTCTGATGAGGCTTCTTTGATGTTGGCGTAATCAGAGGCAGAGACCTACTCGAGGGATCTATGGCAACCCATCATTTCCGAATACAAGATCATTTCCACAATGCGGTCCAGAGAGGCCCACATTCACGTTTGGCAGGAAATGTACTTAGATTCATGAATGCATGACCCTCGTGTGCCTTCAGTGTTTATTAAGGCCATCGTGATAAGAGAATATCTGGTCTGGCTGTTTGAGACGGTGCAGCTCGACAAAAAGATCACAATCACAAGACTTGTATTCTGCCTGTCTCTTTGTGTTTACAGCTGTTTGCATAAGGAGGAACACAGATAGTTTATGCAGGCGGAATCTCTCGTTATTGGTCTTTTCATTCCAGATAAAAACATCTACTCCATGATTCATCAGCAGGTGACTGGAACTGGACAGTTTTCAGCATGACTGTTGACAGATCTAGCACTCAAATGTCCATTTTTTTAACTGGTCTGTGAATGCAACAAAGCAAAGAGTGATTTTTTTATGGAAGTTCAGCCACATAAATAGATAAACTTGCTGCAGTATTCTTTTAGAATGACATAAGAAACAATATGTTTTCAAAAAACAAGAAAGTGTCAGGAAAAAATAAACTAATCAAACACCTCAGTGTTTAGGAGTCACTGGTTTAACCTGACTGAGACTTGTTTGTGTAAACGTGACGGTCTTTGTGAAGCTGTGTCTTTGAACCTCCGTGCTGTTTTTCAGACGTTAACGACAGATCGAGTGTCGGCTGAACCCGCGAACCTCCTCCTCTCGTCGTTTCACATAGAAACAGAGGACAGCTCGCCACAGATCTCGAGGAGCAGGTTGTCAGTTTGTGTTCATCCACTCGTGTGGGGCGAACGCAGCAGCGAAGCACTACTCGCCCTCCCACTCAGCAACTTCGTCTCAACCCCTCTCTCCCGCCCCCTCGTCCTTCTACTCCGCTCGTCGTCCTGCTGCATTTCCCCAACATTTCCTGCTCTTTCAGAGCGCCCATGTTTTCTGCCTCGGGTTAACTTTCTGTGCCGTGCTMATGAGGTATTTTTGTCCCCCTCCGCCAGCTTCCTCCTGTTCCAACACAACACATGGTCAGCAAATTAGTATGTAAATATTTATCATGGATGCAAAGCACCATGACATGTCAGCTATCTCCCTCTCTGCTGCTCACACTCGCACGGCCACTTCCTCGTCGAGGCCAGATGGCAGGTGGGTTTTTTTTTTTTTTTTTTTGGTAAAGGGAGGAGGGGCTGGCTTAGATTGCTGAATACAAGCTGCTCCCATGGCCTTCACTCAAGTCAGCCTAGTGCCGGACGGTATGACCCAAAATTTATATCATGGTCTTTTCAACAATTGTACCAATATCACTGTAGTTGATAGTAGCAAAAAGGAAGCTGAAGTTAGCACAGAGAAGTTAAAAAAGAACTAGAACAAAAGGTGAAAATTGCACATTTTGAAAGGGTTTATGATTGTTTAATGGAGCCCTTTTCATTTTCAACTAGAATAAAAAAKACAGAAAAGTAGGGATGCACGATATATCGGTATTAATATCAGTATTKGCTGATATTGATCATTTTTTAKAATATTTTATCGGTCCGATGTGTAAAACTGGGCCGACATTAACATCTGTATTGATTTCCCAATTTTTAGCTTTAGTTTCTGTTTTAGGAGGGGAGATGTTTGGTTGAGCATCATCTGTTTGATCATGATAGTGATACTGATGCTGCACAGCCAGGAATAACTGAAATAGAGCCATGTCAGAGGTCTGGTTGTTTATTTACAGTATCAAAAAAAGRCCCAAGTGTGTTTGTGCATATATRTAAAATCTAAATTGTGTGTTTGTGTAATATCGGTAAATATCGGTTATTGACCATAACAGCAATAATTATTTCGGATATCGATATCAGCTGAAATTTTCATATCAGTGCATCCCTACAGAAAAGCTAAATATCTCAAAGTAYAAGTTGCAGAAATACCAAAACATTCRATGGAATGTCCTGAAGGAGCTGAATGTTTTGATACATTAGTTGGTGAAATAGCACTAAATTTGCGAAACGAGATACGTCCCGAAAAACGTACGGAAGAAAAACTAGATCGTCTCAATCTCACTACCATTATTACCCATAAAAGCCACTCATAAGTATAACTATTTTTGTTTTGGCTGAGGCTGATCATCTTTGGTGGCCATCTTGAATTGAGTTTTAGCTTCTGGTATTTAATATTTACACTGTGATAAAATATTTTCACTTACTTTGCACTGCAGCCTGCACTTAACCCAACACATTTTGCCAGCGTGGGTCAAAAATATCAGCCAAGAATCGAAGTTCATTTAAATTAGCAAAGAAAAAATGTTGAAGACCTTCAGAAGACCTTATAAAAATGAAAGCTTGGTTCTTTGGAAGTAAAATCTAAAGAAACGAAGGATAACAGAAGACTTTCACAGTTATATCATTGTTTGTCTCAACTGTCCACTGTTTGACTGGTACCTCAGCATTGTATCTAAAAAATGTGGAAATACAAAAAATGTTTGGTTTGTTTAAAAGTGGTATTTTATTAATTAGACCCAATAGTTTATTGCCTAAAGCATCAGCATAGTTCAGTAAAGTTTGTTCAGATTTTGTTTTCTGATGTTTGAAACCAGTGTTTAGAAGCTCCAGACTCRTCTTTATTGGGGGTTTTAGTTTCGTGTTGTCCCCAATGCTTCCACTGGGTTTCTGATCTGCACTGCCAGAAAGATGCTAACATTTTTAAAGGATAACAAGCTTTTATGAATCTGTATATTTTCCCTTTTTGCAGATTTATCATCCCGTTCATCACCAGACTATATATTGTTTTCTGTTTGTGGGGAGGGGAAAGCCTACGCCAGCAGTATTATGTGACGTTTACCCAACTCTTCAAAGCCGAACCATAAAGCCGACATTTTATTGCCTGTTGTTGCTTTAATATCAGCTTTATAAACACTGCAGACAGATTGATGCTCGACAGATTTCAAGCTCCACCTCCGCTTTTGCATAATTGCGCTCGGTGCAGGATGCAGGCCTTCATCATGGAACTCTGGGTATTGTTATCTCTCCGACTCAATCAAAACACGATCTGGCCCGGTGTTCATGACTGTGGCTTTCAGTCGCTCCATGAGCCTGGCCTTTGGAGTGGCCTGTGTAGGTTCTGGAGCCAGGTTGTGTAATGCCCACCACCCACTCATAGCTGCT